GTATTATGGAGATTGTGGCACCAGCAGCTATACTGAAGTATTACTGGACTGTGATGGTGAAGGAGGAGTTGAGGGTTGAGGTGAAGCTCTGTGTTCCAGTCATCCTTTGGTCAGAAGCTTTGGGTGGTGACCAAAAATGAGTTTCCTTGTTATGACATGGGCTCAACCTTAAGGACAGGACAGTTATAAGTTATACTTTATTTCATTATATATACTAACTATGGGAACAAATAAAAATGGTTAATTGCCATAAATTGTGTGTAAACAACAAGTATACAGTCGCATCAAGTACATCAAGAAAACTTCACTTTTCTCAAAGTGACATATTCCCTGCAGGGTGTGAGGAGCACTCTGTGAATAAAAAAAGGGCAACAAATCTGAGATTTACATAATATTTGGTAAATAATTCATCAGATCATCAGGATCTCTTCTACGGGGGAATTTAAGTCTTGGTGACAGGTGGGTTGGTAGAGTCGAAGAAGCTCAGTCAGAGTGCCTGGCACCCTGTCATCACTTAAAATATCTATCAACTGCAATGTTTTGTTCTGCCTCAAGAGAGATCTGTGATTTACAAATAATATTTTGCAAGTAAACATGTGATTAAAAGCCTGGGTTTCCTACCCACTGGGTAAAAAGCTGTTCCAGCTCTGGGGCATACATAGCCTATGTGCATATTTCATTTACTGACATTGTTACATTAAGTAAAAGTCTTCCCATAGAGTTACTGTATATAAACAAATGGAAATTCGTTTTATCAGAGGCAAAACGTTAATTTAAATTTAACCAAAAAAAAAAGTTTAATATATGGTTATTTGTATTAAATTGAAATGACACTGCATTTTTACAAGAACAAAGGATGAAATATGAAAAAGTAGCTGATCACAACCACCCTAAAACTTTTTTGTAACCTATCCAATAAAGTAAAAAGACGTATATTGAACTGAAATGAAACACCTTAGGGGTCATACATTTAACTTATCACGTTCTTTTTCTGTTGCTCATACTGTACATTACATCACTGCAGTGATAAAATAGTTGAAATTATGAGGGACTATGCAATAGTCAACTGAGGTGCAATACTCAAATCCTGGGGGTAAAATGCATTGTAAATATGCACATATGTAAAATCTTGTTCTTGATTTCTCTGAAATACTTTATATTGTTTTGTTTTAGGTATTTTTGAGTAGTTTTTCAGACATCCTCATAGCTGAAATACAGGTATTTCCCCCATTGCAGGATGAATTATGGGAGTAATATTCTTGTCCTTGATTTCTTGATTTCTTGAATACTATAGTTTGTCTTGTTCTTAGGTATTTGGATTTGTGCTCAGGGATTAATTGTGGGAGGATCATTCTTGTTCTTGATTGTCTCTCAAATATTATATTCTCTCTGGTTTTAGGTACTTTGGAATCAGTTTCTCAAGATACAGCATGTGTGTGGTGTTTGTTCTTATGATGTCTTGTTGCTGCTCTCTATTGCTGCTGGAACACAGGAATTTCTCCATTGTGGGATCAATAAAGTCCTACCTACCTACCTACTGTACTGTACTTTAAAATTTTTTAGCCAGCCAAGTCCTTGCTGATAACTTCAAAATGGTAGATATCTCTGCAGATCTATGTGTTTGATGTAAAGTAAAAGTATTAAGGGAACACTTTAAGTCAAAATACAAAGTATGGAGGACCATGCATCTACAAGGTTGACAGGATACCAGCTGCATGCCCTCTTTAGATATATACACCAAAATAGTGTTAAGATTCACTTTGCATCAAGTATTAAGTTTCTGAAGCATGCTGAGGTTGCTTGGCTCATTAACAAAGGCAACGAAACGGACCCTTGAACGGGGCCGGCGTCAGAGGAGAGCAATTCCCTTCTGCACCAGAACTGGGGCAGCCATTTTGGTTGGTGCCCTGAGCTAAGCCAAATCAAGACCCACATGAAATCCCTGATTGAGATACAAAATATAGATACTAGATAGTAGAAGAGAATGTGGTGCAAACATCCATTATACTAATCTTCCTGTGCAGTAAAGAGCTGTATAGTCTTCCTAAGGTGATTGTTTTGTTTTGTTGGTGTGGGAAGTTTGACTTCAAGCTTGAAATCTCTTTGGTATCATTCATTATTTCATTCTTCTTGGTCTCATTATTCTTCAGCCAGTGTCAACCTCATCGTTACCTGTCAGCACTTTTTGCGCCTTTGTAACACTAATGGACAATCGCTCTCCCCATTGTGTTCAGTTTGCCATCTGATGTGACGTTTTGACTGACAGAGGAATGGAGGGCCAATTTGCAAATGCTGTCTTCCAGAGCATCCTGTGTGGTAAGACATTCATCAAAAGCTCGGTGCCCTTGTTCTTCTCTCCTTGTCATATTATCTGTACAGCACTGTCATGGGGGCTGTGGAGTTGATCGTACTTCATTTCAACGGCCTAGATCGCATGACTGCTGTAAAATATTGGTGGGCAATTAATATCCTCTCTTCTTCTTCTGTCCAGGATGTGATGTTAGCAGTGATATGTTAACAGTGCTTTGGACTGATAACTTCAAAGTGTTTAAAATATAATGTAGCTCAGATTATGTTATGTTCAATATAATAAGTGTAATATTAAGTAAGTGCTTATGAAACATGTAATGAAATCATGAAGATGGCACAGAACACACTAGCCTTTTGACAAAAAACCTAAAACATTCATTAAAATGTCAGCACTTTTTCTTGTGCAATTTTAATACCAATACTGACCAGTAGATAAAAGTTAACTTAAGTGTGTAGTGGTGGTAGTAATACAAATCCTTTGATAAAACAGGAATTTTGTGGTTATTTAGATGATGATGACCTCTCTCTACAGCAGTTAAATGTTGCATATAGTCCCAATAAACATGACCACCTCACTCTAGTGCAGGTTAGTGTATGTGAAACCTCTCTGCTATAAAAGTATAAAAAGGCAGACCTTTGTCAAACAGCATTCACCTCGATCAAATAGCACCAAAGCTGGCAAATAAATAAATATATAAATCCCAGGTTTAGTCTGCACACTAGATAGATGAGCGTTGATACACTGGCTGACATCTGTATGAGGGCAGTGAGGTTTATGCAATGATAGTAATGCATTTTAAAGTCTGTATGTTTTAATGTGGTCACTTTCACCATCTGGTGTGACCAGATTTTACCAGATTGAAACACATTTGTAAATAGCATTAAAGCCCCCTTGAGCTGAAAATGATTATTCTTTATTAATGTTCTCAACTGTCTCTCACAAATATGTCTCCTTGTAATGCCTTTGCAGTGTTGGGTTGTTGCTTCAGTCTGCATTTAGAGAACTGTCGCAATCTTAGGAATAAAGAGTTTTTAGAGTAAAAGTGAATTCATAAAATAAATGTTATCATCTGTTAATCTAAGAGTAAATCTGTAAACCATTTAAAGAAAAGAAAAATCCAACCTTTGCAATCAGAATCGGAATTTGACATGAAAGATCCTAGAATTATAAAAAAAGTTATAAACGGTTTTGTCCTTTTGTCAGAGCACTGAACTCTTTCCACATCATGCTTTCCATTCATCCAATAGCCCAGTATGTAAGTGGTTTTACTTTGAAAGTCAGAAAAGAAATTTCCCTTGGTACCAGACACACACGTACAAGCCCCCTGCACACTGCAACACAGGACATGAACAGCTTGTGTGCGCACTGATGCGTGAATGTACACCAACAGCAGCTCATCGCGTCTTCAACAATTTCTGTCATCTTTCTTTTTTTCTGTTTTCCCACCTCCGCAAGTTATTGAGTGACGCCTTGAGGCATATGAGCAAAAAAAGAAGACGGGGCAAGATGCCGATAATTAACTAAGGCACCTGAATCGGTGACGTGGGAGGGGGTGACGAAAGAAAGAAAGAAAGAGAGAGAGAGAGAGAGAGAGAGAGAGAGAGGCGGCCCGGAAAAGAGAGAAAGAGAGGTCTTGCTGAGGTTCTTGATTCAGTGGCAGTGGCTGAGACAACCCCGTTACCGGCCACGTTAACCCGGTAAGTCCACATCATCTTCTCTTTTATATTTTTTTACCCAGGTTTTTTTTTATCTCTCACTAGGGGGGAGAAGTATAACACTTCCTCAAAAAGTTTAAGCGTAAAATGAAGGCGAATGAGGCGACAAAACCCTCCACGGCGGCATATTTAAACCCCTGTGCAGTTCGGGGAAGTGTATAGTTTATGTTAAATAACCAATTTATGCTTGAGGTGAAGTTAAAATAGACAAAGATCGAACTATTTACTTTTCTGACACTCGAGCGTCACAGACTAATGGAGACCCGGGCGCTGTCCGTGGTGCTGAAAGTGTCCGTTCACTGGCTGTTGTTATCCAGACTCTTCTTTCTGTAATGCCTGCTTAGTGATAGGGTTTATTGTGGATACCTGGCCTAAAGGTATATGAAATGTTGGACTAAATCCTTCTCTACGTGCGCATCTTTTCACAGTGTAAAGAGTGTAGGCTACTCAACTGCTCGCGGAAGAGAAAAGAAAAATTTCACTAGAGGACATCGGGACTTTATCGCTTCTCAGCAGCCAAAGCAAAAGAGACGCTTAGCTGAAGCAAATTCATATAAGAAAAGAAGCTTCATGCTCGATGGCAAGAAAGTCTGAAGATGTCAAAAGCTGCCAGTCAGAGTCCATCACCGAAACCTTGGCAAGTAAAGAAGTAGGCTGCCAGCGATGAGGCAAACCACAGGAAGCTCCAATCGGTAAGAAGTGGAAGAGTGATATCCAGAGAGGAAAATCAGACAGAAGAGAGTGGAGGCCAATAAACAAACACCAGCGCGTCCTCAAATGATGGGGATAAAGCACCTCCTGCTTCTTTTGATTTATTTAGACCCGCTAAATGTCCTGTGCACCGCCACCAGCAACAAAAAGAGCAAAACCCCGCAGAGGAGAAACCCAAAGGTGAAGGAGGTCAACGCCAGTACCACTGCGGTCCCGGTGCCTGCAGTCGTCCCTGGGAGGATCACCCAGGTGCAGGCTCCGTCGGTCGTCAGCATCCAGCACGACACCTGCCTGGGCTACTACGACGTGAGCGGGCAGTACGACAAAGAGTTCGCCTGCAATAACACTGATCATCGCTTCTGCTGCGGCAGCTGTTTCCTGCGCTTCTGCTGCGCGGACCGTGGGAAGCGGCTGGAGCAGAAGATCTGCACCAACTACAACACACCGGACTGGATCAAAACCCACCCCCCTTCACCGGCGCCAACAGGTGATACGTACGACCCGGCGCTGGACCAGACCAACACTACGGTGTACATCACCTGCGGGGCCATAGCGCTCATCATCGCCATTGGGATTTCTGCTAAAGTTGCCTATGATAAAGCCACCAAGCCCCCTCAGGAAATGAACGTGCACAGGTAAGGTTTTTCATTTTATCACAGTTCGTTCTAGCTGATGATGAGTAAAAACATTATTTATTATTTGTACATATCAATTTACACTACAAAGTTTATGTCAGTCTTCATTTAGTTTTATTTATTTATTTATTTATTATCAGACATATCTGTCTCTCAAACAGTTTCAGGTGTGTTCACTGCAATACCAGCTTGTCATTCGTTGGTAAAACTTTTTTGGTTGTCAGTTCCCTTCAGTAGTTTTGAAGTAAAAAATCTATTCAGCTGTTGTTCTGGTGACTCATCTAATTTATAGCAGCCTACATAACTTAAAGCCTCAGTATCATGACCTTTAACCCATGTCATCACTTTACTCTCCAGAGCTTCTCTGATGAAAATGTAAAGACCATATCATTTTCTATAGGCACATCCAATTCTGTGGCAATCCCTGGATAGGGAGTGTTTGGTGTTTTATTTCCATTCAGCCCCAGGGGGATAAAGTAAATGCCACAGAAAGCTATTATGAGGATTATGTTCATCATGACGGGCGTGGTCTCTTCTACAATGGCAATATTTTAAACCCCCAAGGCACCAGTAGTGGTCACTGAATTGTTCAGTGAGTGTTAAAGCAGCATAAAAACACATTCTGTGGCCATTTCAGTCACCAAATTGTTGCATACTGATGTCAGGAACACACCTAAGGCAATTTATTTCCCAAGCATCATCACAATACCAAATAACTTTTTACTGCCACTAATTATCTTTTTGTTGTCTATTTTTAATACAAAGCATTTCTGTTCTCTGCACTGGTGTCTTGAAACAAACAAACAAGAGAGCTTTTTTTTCTGATGAATTTGATTTGGATGAATTTTGGTTTACACTGGATCTCACTGATAAGCTACGTGATAGTGTAAAGTTTGTTAAGTACTGCAAATGTTGCTGGAGTGACATTAGCCAAGTGGTTTTAAGAAAGTGCATTGGTAATGCTAATGGGGAAACGACATCCTTAGTTTTTGACTGTTAAACTTTATGAAGGTTAATAAACAACTTCTTTAGGACAGTGTGGTTGTGATTTGGTCAGATGTGATTGACTGTAGCCTGGCAACATATGCAAACAATCCCATAACTGTTAAAAGATTTGGTTTCAAATGCTGCTGAAATTCGATTGTTGCACAGTAGGACATTACACTGCCTTTTTCCAACAGGGCCACAACCAGAGATAAGAGATAAGCACAAAAAACAAACTGTTGTATGAAATAACCAGGGCTCTAAGGCAGATTATTTTTTTGTTGATGTCTTATCTATTGATCCCTAGAAAGAAGCTATTGGAGGAATTATGTTATAAGGGCCTTTAAAGGTAAATGAATCCTGTAAACAGGGTTGAGAGGATTAGACAGAAATGATTCTGTTTGGTGCTGAGCAGGGTCTAAAAGTCAAACCAGTGAAGACACTAAAGAGCTTTATCAATAATTGGCAGGTAAACAGCATACTTGTACAATTTTTGACACAAAGTTGAAGCACGTATAATCAGTGTTTTTAATAGATAACATGACTACTGTATGTGTATGTGAAAGGGGCTGCTTATAGTGAGGAACCCAGAGGGAATCATCACCTGACCCCAGCTGTTCACATTACCACCTTAAAGGTGCTATGTGAGTGATTTGTTGCCACGGCCCTCAAACCCCTCAAGCAACTTGTCTTTCTGTTTAATGTTCATAATGACGACTGTGTTTTTAATTTGTGAGGAATTTGTTAAAGGTTAACTCAATCTTTGGTCAGGAACAACATCCTGCATTGGTTTGAATCTTATCATCCACCTTGATATGTGACATTTTCACAGTGATTTATTTTGTACCACATCACACATGGAGCAGGTGAAGTGTAACCCCAAAACATTATATGTGTATGTTTGATCGACTGCAACCTGTACACTGTCTATACAGGGCTAATATGTGCCCGTCTTTTCTGTGATATATGCTGGGATAATCTCCACCCCAAATAAAACAGGTATTAAAATGTATAAAGGGAGAAATAGGTGTTTAAATGGGGTTAGGTCTGACAAAAATTGCATGTTTTCCACCCACTGGTAAAAAAAAAGTCATAGGCACTTAGTCACTGCTCTTATTCAAGAGTCACTTGAGTCACCTGCTATTATCCAGAGTCCATTTGGACTGAGCAGAGGAGGCCTTCTTGCTTCTTAGCCAGAGCCCAGACGTTGATATAATGATATGAAGATAATTGAGCATTGTTATGCCTCAGCCATGAAACTTTGGTCCCTGCTGCTTTGAAAATGCCAAGGGAGATTACTCAGCTTTCTTGCTCAGTGAAACACTGTGATAAAGTCTTGATTTAAAAAAAAGTCCAAATTCTAATGCTGACAACAACACAAAGGAGTTCTCTCAGTAGATCAGTTACAGATGAAATATGAGCGCCAGTGATTGCTGTCTTTTAAAAAGTTTGCAGAAACAGCTTTTAATATCCACATAAACTCTTGAGAGTTGATAATACAGCATTTTGTTTGAAACAATAGACACAAAATGAACAGCAAATTTCATGAACCACTTTTTTTAAAACCATCACTGCTCCGAGAAATAATAAATGGTGAAGTTTATGTCTTCTGACTATGCTTCTATCCTAGCCATGGGGCATACTTTCAAGTAGATCTGCTTAATGCCACCACTTCAATATGAGCAGCGGTCATGAGAGTTTAGAAGGAGCACTGTTAAATGGGGAGGCATGGCTTGCTGGGTTCACAATAGTGTTTTTCCTCTCTTTTTTTATGATTTGTTTATTTCCATCGACCATTTGGCACATAAAGCTGTCGCCATGTCTGCTGGAATAGACCAACATGGGATTAGCTTTATATTTGGCAAGGGTCTGCTCCTAAAAAGTGTGAGCTTCTCTGTTAATTTCCAGTGTTTCTCTGAAGTGATTTAGACTCCTGCCTCTGCGACTGATGGAGGACTGTGAGCAGAATACTGAGCTGTTCGCAGACCTTTGCTGTTTGGTCTGTGACCTTCACCAAAGCACAAGAAATGCCAAGTGAGAGCTAAAGTCAGTGATTTGAACAGGCTGTATTGATCACCTTCTGCACGGCAAACAGAGATGCGGTATATGCCGGCTGTGGTGTGAGAGCAATGCCTTGTTCTCCAATTGCAAGACTGAGAAACTGAGTTGAAAGGCATCAGCGTCATTGCATTGTTCACTAGAGAATGTTGACAAGTGATGAAGGTTTTAGATTCCAACTAAAAGTTATGCTTTTGATTCAACTGATTATTCTGTTCTCCCAAACCATTCTCTCTCTCTCTCGCCACTATTTTTTGCTGACTAATTAACTCACACATACTGTATTCTGTGATTCTGACCCTCAATCCACCCCATAGTTTAGGAAATCAGGAAGTAATACAACAGCAGAAATTAACAGAAATTCATAAAGAAAATTGTCTTTTACTGTTTATTGTCTTCAAAGCCCTGCTAGATGGTTTTCTCGACAAGGCCAAAGTTATTTGCATTTCCCATCAGGGTAACTGAGTTACCACCGGAGTACATCAAGCCCAAAATACCACTTACTGAATTAAATCAAATCAAATCAAATCAAATTTTATTTGTATAGCGCCAAATCACAACAAAAGTCATCTCAGGACACTTTACAAAGTAAGGTCTAGACCTTACTGTTATCAATATTATTACATAGGGAAAACCCAACAAATCCCCCTTGAGCAAGCACTTGGCGACAGTGGGGAGGAAAAACTCCCTTTAACGGAAGAAACCTCCGACAGACCCTGGCTCTTGGTGGGCCCTGTAGAAAGGTACAGGGAGAGAGAGAGGACACACTACGGGAGAGGAGACACAAAGTTAGTAATGTGTAATGGTGGCATATAGAAGCATAGGGAGAGAGAGGAGAGGGGAGGGGAGGAGAGGAGAGGAGAGCAGGAGGGGAGGGGAAAGAAACTCAGAGCATCATGGGGCCCCCAGCAGCCTAGGCCTATAGCAGCATAACTAAGGGAAGGCTCAGGGTCACCTGATCCAGCCTTAACTATAAGCTTTATCAAAAAGGAACGTCTTAAGTCTAATCTTAAAGGTAGAGAGGGTGTCCACCTCCTGAACTGAGACTGGGTGTTGGTTCCATAGGAGAGGAGCTTGATAGCTAAAGGCTCTGCCTCCCATTCTGCTTCTGTGGACTCTAGGAACCACAAGTAGACCTGCACTCTGAGAGCGAAGTGCTCTGTTAGGATGATAAGGCTCTACGAGGTCTTTAAGATATGATGGAGCCTTGTCATTAAGGGCTTTGTATGTTAGGAGAAGGATTTTAAATTCTATTCTGAATTTTACAGGGAGCCAGTGGAGAGAAGCTAATATGGGAGAGATATGATCTCTCTTGCTAGTTCCTGTCAGTACTCTGGCTGCAGCATTTTGGATTAACTGGAGGCTTTTTAGGGAATTATTGGGACATCCTGATAGTAAAGAGTTACAGTAGTCCAGCCTGGAAGTGACAAATGCATTGACCAGTTTTTCATCATCACTTTGAGACAGGATGCTCCTGATTTTTGCAATATTTCGCAGGTGAAAGAAGGCAGTTTTAGAGACTTGGTTTATGTGTGATTTAAAGGACATATTCTGATCAAAGATGACTCACAGGTTCCTCACAGTAGTACTGGAGGCAAGAGCTATGTCATCTAAAGTAACTATATGATTAGACAGCAGATTTCTAAGGTTTTCAGGCCCAAGCACAATAACTTCAGTTTTGTCAGAGTTTAGAAGTAAGAAGTTGCAGGTCATCCAGGCCTTTATGTCTTTAAGACATGCTTGAAGTTTGACCAGCTGACCTGATTCATTTGGCTTCATAGATAAATATAACTGAGTATCATCTGCATAGCAATGGAAATTTATGTTGTGCTTCCTGATAATATTGCCTAAAGGAAGCATGTATAAATTGTAGAGAATTGGACCTAACACAGAGTCCTGTGGAACGTCGTGACTAACTTCAGTTTGTGTGGAACATTCATCATTAACATGAACAAATTGAGATCTTTCTGATAAATAAGCTTTGAACCAACTTAGTGCAGTTCCTTTAATCCCAATAACATGTTCAAGTCTCTGTAGTAAGATGCTGTGATCAATGGTGTCAAAAGCAGCACTGAGATCTAAGAGGACAAGTATGGAGACAAGTCCTTTGTCCGAGGCTAGGAGAAGATCATTGGTGACTTTCACCAATGCGGTTTCTGTACTATGATGGACTCTAAATCCTGACTGAAAATCCTCAAACAAATCATTCTCGTGCAAGTGGTCACATAACTGCTTTGCAACAGCTTTTTCAAGGATTTTGGAAGCACAGCTGGTGCTGATACAGCCCTCGTCCCCCTCGCCAAAGGGGCAACTCTACAAGCAACTAACTTTAAACAGCAACAGCTGAATCTGTGGCTACAGCTTGCAGGCCAATTAACATTGTGGAGGACGTACGTATAAGACTGCACGTATAAATTGCCTTCGAGAGCCACCACTGTAACCTAGATGCACAACTTGTATGAAGATGAAGAAAGCTAAAATGAAGGAGGCGTTGGGACACACGAGCAAGGTTGTGGTCACCGGAGACTACTGGACTTCTCTCCGTAATCACTGTTACCTCGGGGTCCCTTTAAGGTACATTTAGAAACACTGGTGGAAGAAGTACTCAGATCCTTTACTAAGTAAAAGTAGAAATACAACAGTGTAAAGAAATAGTTTGTTACATGTAAAAGTCCTGCATTCAAAATGTTATTTAATTAAAAGTACAAATGCATAAAAACATAAAGTACTAAGAGTAAAAGTACTCATTATGCAGAATGGCACATTTGACAGTCAATATTATTGTATTACAACTACTGATGCATTGTTGTGTGCATCACATTAAATGTTGCTGCTGGTAAAGGAAGAGCTAGTTTTAACTAGATTATATTCATTTAATTTGAGTAACTGCTGAGTAGCTTGTGAATTTTCCACTATCAGTGAGGTCTTATAATTATAATGCATTTTTTGTATTAATTTGGTTATGAAAAGTAACTAAATTTATAAATGTAGTGGAGTAAAAAGTACAATATTTGCCTCTAAAATGTAGTGAAGTCAAAGTGTGAAGTAACAGAAAATGAAAAAACTCAAGTACAGATACTTCAAAATTTTACTTAATTATAGTGCTTGAGTAAATGTACTTATTTACATTCCACCACTGCTTAGAGTAGATAAAAAGTGTAATTAATTTGTGATTAATCATGAGTTAGCTATGGGCAGCCATGCGATTGAATATTTTAACATGGTGTAGATCACTTGTGATTTTAATCTCTCTAACAGAACAGTCACTTTTGCGATAAGCAGTTCATGTCATGTTCCTCTGTAAATCAGCTTAACTGTGACATTTCCCAAGGGCTTATTTTTGGTTCACATTTGTTTTCAATAATAAATGCTTCCCTCGGTCAGGTAATACCCATCCCCTGTACGGTTCTGCCATCTACTGAGTTTCATAGAATGGAAGGCCAACCTCGTTTTGGCAGAGAATTTCTTCCTGTTCAATAAACAGTTTTATCAGTAGTCTCATGGGGTATTGATGGGTTCAAGATTTGACTTTGCCAACTTATACGTGTGTTATCAGAACACAACTGTTTTACATAACGATCCAATATTGTGGTTCTGGCTCCACCGGCTCTAATTATTCTTTATTGATTGTTTATGTTTGTAGAATTTCAGGGTTCTAAGCTCTACTGATGATTGTCTTTTGACTGACACATTCACAATTCCCATTTTTTTCACTCTGTCATGTTTTACACATATAATAAATTTGCCTTTTTTGGCAAATGAAGAGCCTGTTTCCTGCTTTTTTTTTTGGTGTGTGGGCACTTTTTCTGTATGTAGGACATGTGTTTTGGCTACACACACCTGATATCATTCTCGAGAAGTCAGGAAATACAGTAAGAGTGTGAACCCTGCAACAGTTTTTGACTTTTATATTATGAAATTGTTTTGATATGTGCTTGGGCATCCTTTTAATGGACAAAATCCCTATCAAAAAAGTTGGCTACTTTAAAATGAAGTTTTAAAAAATGAGTAATGGTTGATATATTGTTAACAGTTACTTCATTTATGACACATACTCTTGCATTTTACATGTGACCTTACAACAATCAAAAGTATGTTTGTAGTTTGTCTTCCTTGATAATTTATTACCTTTTTTTATTTAAAAAGTATGTTAAAGTCCTGTCTGTTCTTGCAAACTATCGCTCCTGCTGCACTCGACATAGCAGCCAACTAGGACAATACAAAATCAGGTCGCCTATGTCTGGAAAAAAGAAACAGCTAAAGTGTGTTCATCCTGGAAGGGAAATGCTATTAATATGCTGTATATCTCCCAAAGTCACAGAGTTATGGAAAAGTGGACTGTGTGGTTGCTTTAGGTTGACATTGACATAGTTAAATTGCCCTTTCATTTCCTTTAAGAAACCGCAGCAGTGGCACTCCATCTCACAGACTGACACTGCCCCCAAAAGTTGGAAATGGTGTCGGTGAACTATTGCTCTTATTTTGTGGCTTCAAACAGGAGACACTGGGTTAACTCTTAATAAATGGGCCTTGAGCTCCTGTCTAGCACAAATAATAGGACATGTCTGTACCTTGTGTATCGCACTATTGAAAATATAACTCTCTTGTGACTGTGGGTGTAATTAGGATTTCCTCTCTTCCTTGTTCCAAACCTCTATGATTCAAATTGAAGCTGTAGCTAAATAAATTAGGAAGACCTTTAGGGGGCTGGTGAGGAGAATGTGGTAATTGGAAAAAGGAAACATTTCAGTTTGAACAGTTTTCTTCCATTGGTGTGTTTCCTTTCAGAGCCCTGGCAGACATTCTGAGGCAACAGGGACCTGTTCCAATATCTCAGTATGAACATGAAAACATCGCAGCGATTGATGGGTCACCCAAAGACGAGACGCCAGTCAGAACCTCCAAGAATCATTACACACCTGTTCACACCAAGGCCTCAAACCATGGTAGGTGACATTGCTCTGCTATTATACAATACATATTTGTAGGCCAGACTGTGCTCAAAGACGTCTAAATGATATGTAAAGAGAGACCCTTTGGCAACCGCCTTCAACTGACATCCACTAAATGGACATGCCGTGAAAATTAAGCTCAATGCTTCTTAAGAGGAAGCATGTACATAAATACACATTGAATTAAATAAAAGCCTCTGGTTGAGTTCTCCTCTTCCTCATGCTGCAGCCCCATAAGTCAAAATTGAGACGCAACTCATAATCTTCTTCTTCCTATGCGGGAGACTCCATTGTTTTGTCCAGAGATAATTCTGTTGTGAAACGCTGTTCCTCCTACTTTTATCCGGTTGGTCTCCAGATCCCTGCTCCAGGGATCAGCTCGTTTACTAAGTGCCCTAGTATGGTGTCCCAGATTTACGTTTCACTCTCATGGCACCCTGCCTCCCCCCTTTTCTCCACCAGCACCACCACCCAACATGGAAGGAAAGTGTCAGAGTAGAGCTGATACAGACTGTTCTCAACTGCAGGGTGTGAGCTGCTTTTCTCACTTTTCTGCTGCAGAATGACTTTGTTTTAGTGGTGCATATGATTATAGTCACACTGCCCAGTCCTTGTTCTCTCAAAGAAAAGAAGATTACGCCACTCTTGGTCACCGGTTAGGAGGGTATATAATTTAATCTTAGTCCCTTTTCAAATCAATTGTCTTTTTCTTCTATTATTGCTGCTCTTTTATTGTGGATGTTTTGAGACAATTAGGGAGCAACTGGGAGATATTGGTGTACTATTGGATTGTTTCATCAGATCAGAAAGTGTATCTTTAAGTAAAGATTATGTTCAGTTTTGCTAGTATCCATTACTCCGTGATACAAGAGTAATTTGGCACACAATACACAGCACAGCATTTATGACACTGTAGACTGTTCATAAAGTCCAGAACGTCGATAGGTTAAAAGGTTAAACAAGTTTTAAAAAAGAGGAAAGGGCAGCTGCCTATTGCCCCCAAGCCCTCGTGAGACCCAAGCACTAAGGCAATAAGTTGGTGGTAATTTAATGAATTGAAATTTTGTTTGATAATCCTTCAGGCACCAATAAAGCACATCATGAACTAAACCTACCTAATGACAAGCAACACCAGAATTATTACTTGTTAAGGCCTCAGCTGGTAGATTAGTGGGGCTTTGTCATATTTTATAAAAATTCTTTTGCAAATTTGTATTGTGCTTAATTTGTGCATTTTAATAAAAGCTAAAAAAAAGTTCTTACTATTGGGGTAAGGCGGTAGGGGGGTAGGGGTGAGGGGACTCAATGGACAGCTTATTTTTGCTCCAAGACGTCCTAGTGTGTCATGGCCCTGAGCCCTGAACATGAAAGTGATGATTGTACAGTAACAAAATCTAAATAAAAACCAAATAAAACACAACATATTTTAAATTTGACTCCAAATCATTAACATGAAACTCGTACTGAAGAACAGGTGATGTTCATAAATATCAAAACAAAAAAGAACAACTTTGTGGAAGCTCCCTAAGTAGCGTTTTTTTTTTTTGTGTGACTTGTTTTTGCTTATTTATTTGTTTGTTTGTTCATATTTCTGGAATGCTGCAGCACAGTTATCAGCAAAGTGTCTGAACCTTGAACATATGTCTGAAAAAGTGTTAAATACAAAAAGTACAAACAGGCTTTTCTTATTCAAATTCATTTTATGGCCTTTTAGATATTTTTGTAAATTGTACTTTTGAAAGAAGACATGATTCAACTTTGTAAAATGTAATGTTTAAAGCTATCAACATTTTGTCCAGTGTTACTTGTTTAACCTACTGTATATACATCACAGATTGTAGTCAGTACTCCATTCTTACTGTGCAACCATGGAGCAAGGTTTAAACTTTTGTGAGACTCACAAAGCCACATAGCGGCGGAGTTCTTCATAATATGCAACGCCCACAGAAAAGATGTCTTAACACTCCAACCTTGGTCATATTAGCCTGATATTACTTGCTGTGGAAACAGTAGCAAGACATCCCATTGCATGGGTGATGGCTTTTGAATAGGGAAGGCATCAGAGAAGAGGATGGACGGCATGCAAGCAGGGACAGAGGCGCTCCAGGGAAGACATGACTTCGATTTTATGACAGATTTATGACAACACTAATTTTAAATTTTAAATAGAAGGTTTTGTTTATTTTCCAATGCTGAGCAGTCAAAGCGTATTGCAATATATTTATAATGCAAATACTGGATATTAACCCTTGTGTTCTGTTAAGAATCTTAAATACCATTAGCTGTTGTTGGGCTTCTCTTATTAGATTTCAGCGTGAGTACTGAATGTTTTCAGTATGAACTCTTTCCATTGCAACAAACTACTACAGCACTTATGCAAATGTATGACTTCATGTGTGTCCCTGTGGTTTTGTGTGCGCATGCATGTGTAATCAAGTTCACTTTTAAAGTGCTATTGCAGAAGGTTACAATATCCACCAGGCCTTTATGAATTACAGTTGGATAGATAAATAACATAGATCTTTGACATTTAATGTTCATGTTTGTGTCCCTATGGGATCTTACTTTAAAGGTCTTCTTTTCCATTTTATTAAAGTACAGCTTTTATTTAGGCTGTCTTAGGCTTAACATGCGTAAGCTACCATAGACAGCTGAATGTTTAGCACTGAGAAAAAATTATGTGAAAAGTAATTGACTCATGACCTTCTATAATTCAAGAGATCAATGTTAATTCAAGATTTCAGACTTTCAGAATGTACTTTGCCCCCTGAGGTCTTCAATAACTAATCAATATTGCATATTCACATCCCTTTGTTAAAGGGTTTGTTGAAGTCAAGGATAAAGAAAATGAATGTTAAAAATTCTTTCAGTATTCAGATCCACTTCAGGTTCATAAGATGGCCCTTGTGAGAACAGCCAGCAGCTAATATCTCCTGGGTCACAGCAACAAATCAGAGGTAATGGGTGAAGGGAATAAAGATTTTTTTGTGGGACACTGATCGTAAAAGAGCATAAAATATACTGGTGCTGTTAGAAGTGTCATAGTCTTATATTCTTATTTATCCTTTTTAGTTACTCCTCTTGATAAGTGATTTAAAAAACTATCCTTCAAATAATAATAATTACATTTAAAGCATTTTGTCAAAAACAGTAAAATAGTAGCGCAAGGAGGAAAAACAACACACAGAGGCTGAATAATGTACAGCAATGGTTAGTTTCTGCCCATGTTGTGCCCTGATGTGATCCTGATGGAGTGTGTCTTGCAGTGCGGGTAGTGCTTCTGCAGGACTGTCCTAGATCGAGCAATATAACTTCAATTTCCTAGAGTTCTATTCTGTTCTTTCATCTTTTGCTCTAAAGTTTCTGTGATGCTCTGAAATAGGCAACAAATCTCTTCTGCACTTTGCAGAGAGAGAATGGAATCATCTATGTAGGACACTCGCAGCAAATGGGTTCACTTTGAGTTTCTAAACGCTTTAAAAGTTCACTAAAGAGACCAAATTGACAATTTGGAATGACCACTTGCTGCATACTCTCTAAGTCATATTACAATTTGTACTACTTGACACTGATCATTTAAACTGTCTGGACCCCTGAACATTATACCCACATCTGCTGCCATGCTAGTCTCTACTCTTCTGGCTTAGCACTAGATTAAAGTGCCAGAGGCCGGCTCCCATTTACACCACCAGAAACTGTGCCCATACCACACTGTCAGCAAGAAACAGCCCAGTGGTCAAATTCACATGAAGTGAAAACGCACTGCTTTTTGTCTGAACATACTTTTAGTGGTCCTGATAGTGTAATTTTGTTACATTTGGCCATAACTTACCCGGCTGTTGCCCTCTGTTTTCCAAACTTTATGCCAAACCAAATAAGCATTTTTCCCAAAATGTCAAAGTGCTGCATACCTTTAGAACTTTATTAGAACGAAGGGGCACCAACCATGAAAAACAGCCCCAGACCAAAAGAATACAAAAGTAGGCTGTGTGGACAGAGGTGTTTAATAGTTTTATTATAGTTTTTATTTCATTTGTCATGAAAAATGGTTGAAAGCTCTAGAAAAAGTATAGTTAGTTGCTAGACATTGGGTTAAGCTTGTCTTGTTAAAACATTATTTCCTTATTTTAGGTATGATTTTCCTAGAAAATGACAATAATGTGAAATCACCAGCCATTTAAAATCAACCATTTGTGTTTAATAAATGACTTCCCTTGACTTTAACCACTACCCGACGTGACTGGAGAGCAGTGTGTAGATAAGGGACATTTCAGAAATAATGAGGCGCTATAGGTTTGTACTGCCACCTACAAGCAATTTATATTACAGACAGCATTTGTAGCTCCATGGTGCTGTCCTTGGGGTATGCAGAGTTTATGAATCAATATATTTCACCCTGTGAGATATCACATAGATATACTCCACCGTACTGTATAATCTGCATACTGTGTACAATGTTGTGCTGGAAGAAATAACTGGATACCATGAGAGTAAATCCTGTCTCTGGATATTTACTGATTTCATCAAAGGCACAAAATTAACAGTAATGGTCAGAATACATCAGTAAGCTTCTCTGAGTTCCTTGAAAGGCGCTATATAAATAAAATCTATATTTTCTACTTAGTTTATAGTCATCATCTAGGTTTGATACACAAATAACTGAGCTATGGAGGTGATGTTTAAGTCCCATGTGATGAAAACCAGGCCTAACAGTCCCAAGTGTTTCTTTTCATTATGATAATTTGAAATGCTGTTCGATCTTGGCTTTCTGAGGCCCAAAGGTCGAAGTGATGTTACTGACTTTGAAATGGTTCCTTGGAGAAAGAGGCATTAAACTGTTCACTAGTTATTTTAGAAAGGGACAAACAGAGAGAAAGAGAGGGGAAAGAAAAGAGCAATCTGATAAACTAGCTCTACAGATTTAGAAATATTTTTGCTTTGTTTTCTCAGTTGATTGGTACAACATTCTTTTAATTCTGCTTAAGACATTTGTAATTAACAGGCAACTGAATGTTTGTCCAGGTGGTTTCAAACACCTTGTCTTGTTCCTTTGTGTTAATGCTACACTCTCAAGTTACAGCAGTGGTGATTATCGGAGTTAACAGCAACATGGTAGAAACTGCATTATGGAGTGATTTTTATTTTTTTTAACACCAGGGTAATCCACAGCGGTATTGTATACGCATACATTTTAAATAAAGGTTAAATGTATTCTAAAGTCAAGGGCACCAAACCCCAATCACCTTCCCTGCGTCGAACCAAAAGCGCTGTAATTTCACTGTCCAATTAAATTGGACAGTGAAGAAGGAGAAGGAGTTCTTGATAAATGGGCAATATGAAACCTGCAGATTGCATCTCTGGCGTTACATATTGACAGGCTTATGATCCCACCTGAGAGTCAGTTTTGTCAGTTATGCTATTTTAGCCCTATTTAGTATTCCTGTCACTTGTGGCTGCTCTTTTCTAAAATGGCAGAAAAGAGTGGGAAATTGAGTACAGGCGCCTCACAGCAGTGAAGCCCAGTCACAGCAGCATTTAAAATGGTGAAATTTTGCATTGAAATACATTCATTTCAATGGAATCCCTGCTGTGGGTCTGTTCACCAATGAGGGTAAACTAAATGTGAGGGAATTCTTCTCTGACATGCAAATTTGTACCGCTAACCAATAACAAATTGTTTTAACAGTACTGACCATTGAACAAGCTTAGATTTAGAAACCTAAAGATGGCAGAAGCTACTTCACAGCACTGTCCCGGATAATGTCCTTGTTAATGTAATAGTTGTATTTTGTAACCATCAGTTTGAATTATGTCAACTTTGTGCAAAAGAAGAAGAAACCAGGAGAGTGTGATGGCCATCCAAGCTTTAGAAATTCTTCAACTGTCAGTCATGTAACATTGTCTGTGGGTAAAATAAATGGGACATGCGCTTCAGGAACCAGGAGGAGTGTTTTTCCTCATCCGAGGGTGAAATCAAGGTTCTAAGGACAGAGGATGTAGATACCTGTACAGATTGTAAAGCCCCTTCAGGTAATTTTTTGATTTGTGATATTGGGCTATAAAAATAATATTTGACCATATTGGACCATTCACTTTTATATAAGTGTCTTCTGCCAGAGAATAAACCACAACACAAAACAGTTATGAGATGGAGTCATTGGTACAAATACATCTCTTAGACTATAAATTTACTGTACCATTATTATAAATAAAATTATGTATAATACAAGGGGGAAGTAAGTGATGTAATAAAGAGAAAAGTAGACAGCATTCAGAGAGTGCAAACGTCCACCAAGGCATGATGCCTTTACGCCTAAAAGCAATACTCCCATGATAGTTTGACCCTCAACATGTTTGACCGAGTGCTGGACTTAGCTACACACACGGTGCAGTCAGAAGCCACAGCAGGGCAGAAAGGAAAATGAAGCCTGTGCTTTGCATTCTATATTCACATAAAATCCTTCCCGCAGGGTTGTGTGGAGGTCTGGCTGTGTTTATTTGTGCTTCAGAAGGTAATTACTGTGAAAGAAAAAGAAAATAACATCTTATTTCTGTGACTCGCTGCTTTGTTTTGCTAGCTGTGCTCGCTCTCTTCATTGACATGCTAGGTCACTTGTCCACCACTGCTCACTCTGGTAGAGTAGATTTAGACCACAGGCAGTGAAAAAACAGCTGTTAGGTACGACCTGGATCTCTTCGTTCCCACCATTGAGCCGTTGAATAACACAACTAGAAAATTAAAAGGCCTGGCTGCACTGCACTAGCTTTTAAGTTATGCTGTGAACAAACCAACAAACAAACACCAGTAAAAAATAAGAAACTCAAGAGAACTGTTGTGACCGACAACATGTTCCTAATTTGTAAGGACACAGATGAATTTCACTGTGCCACCTGATATGACCTGAAATAAAAAAAAATACAGTCATTTTTCTTTTTTTTTTTGTCTCGCAAGGGCACTATGGGAAAGAAAACCTGTGCAGTGGAGGCCAAGACATGCACAACTTCATCTCCTCTGGGTTTGTGACACTTGGACGTGGCCACTTGAAAGGTAAAGTCCATTCTCATTTTCTATGGAAGTATAGCTCTGCCAAAACATTTGAGGGCACACAAACCAAATCTCTGTCAAATCTGTTTCTGCTTTTACAAATCCATCCCTCTCAGACTTTCCTACTCTTTCAAAACTACAGAATTTTACACAAAATCCAGTGGAGAAATCTGAGACAGCAGAATTTCAAAATGTGCCTGCGTGTTCTGAAATGCTGAGTTGGTTTGTGTGTCCTCAGACGTTTTGGTGGCGATGTACTTCCATAATTATCTGTCTTTCATTTCACAGTACCATGAAAACCAAGTTCAGAAACATTAGAATTTCACTCGCAAAGCTACTGTGTCATGCTGTCATCCTTTGTTGCCAAATGAGGGTGCACAGGACTGTGCAGTTAAAAAAAAAATCAAATACTGTGACTGTGACTTTTGTTTCAGCTCAGTGCTAGTTGGACATTACAGTACATAATGGCTTGAAGTGACATCTTGCAAGGTCTACACACACTTCTGAACGAGAGAAGCACATTTATTATCTATGATTAAATCCACACATCCAATGACAAAGTAACACTTCCGCACTTGGTAGGCAGCCTGTGCGAGTGTATCATGGCACAGTAGTAGATTTCCCTGCTATTGTCTTCCTTTGGAGTTTTAATAAATCAGAGGCAGTGTTGGAGTGAGAACAAGCTGTAAACAAGAGGCCCGTTGTTTTGTTTTTACAGCCCAGCACTCCATAGACGAATCGGGGCAGATGTCCTGGCAGGGCGATCTGGACATCCCCATCTCCTACGGTACGTTCTCCAAATGTTCCACTTTCCTGACAGAGAAAAAGTCACACAACCTGCTTTCTGCTCGCACCTGATAAGAAACATTGCTCACATTTCATATATGCATACACACGCACAGAGACCAGTTGTGCCCTTGGCTGATAATTGCAGCCTAGTCACTGGGGACAGAGTGCCAGAGTTGTAATATTTTATTTATTTCTAACAGTTGGTGGTTTGTGAGCCAAAATATTTCCACTTGTGGTTGTTTGACAGCAGGTTTGAATGAATGTGAGTGGTCTACTGTCAAAGTTTATTTAGGCGCCTTGGGACAGGTGAGGGTATATGATATTAACAGGGCGGCTGAGTCCAGCTGGTGATGAACACTTTTTAGCTATCTGCAAGGTAAGTGAAAGTTAATTCAGACACTCAGCTTGAAGCATTTGCTATGACTGAAAGTGAAAATCTGATTGAATCTTACTTATTATTCTATGGTGATTCTGCTCTGCAGTTTGCAGATATCATCAGCTGAGTTTAATGGTGGCAACTTTTTCCTTGATGATACTGAACATTCAGTTCAGCCATGGTGACAGTATCGTTCATGCAATAAAGGTCTCCTGTTTATTGTAGATGCTGGCTGAGGTTCAAAAGCATTTTATTCAATCTGATTCCAGATTCTAAATTAACTGGGAAATTATAAAAGTTGACACTGATGCAATGCAATAATCTGGTCACTTCTGTAGAGAATTACTCTGTAGGCACAGACGTAAAGAGCCACACAATATTTCAAACAAGTTCTGGCTGGTCTCAGTTTCAAATATTGTTTCTATGGGTCTGTTTTGGACCAGGGAGAAAAATGTTGGCCTCTGCTTTGCTGCACATGAGCTAGTTTTGCTGCTTTAAATGACCAGAGTGTGCTAAAATGTCTTCTCCTTAGGACATTGTTGTGTCAGGAGGCTTATTTTATTGAACCAGTTGTTTTGTAATCTGACAGTTTTATTATAGTCTTTTTGATTTAGAGCAAAACTCACTTTGTGTATTAGTTTTAGACCCTTTATTCAACTTTGTTCATGTTGTGTACACATATCAAATACTGTAACTCTACTTCTCTGACATTTGTGATCACCTCTACATCTTGGTGGAAGCCATAGTCCTACCATGAGCATTTTTATTTGAGGCGGTGACCATCAGCTCTGACACAGTCTGCAGTGTGAAAAAAGGACCTTTCACAAGAAACACAGTACAAAGTGACTTCATACAATATATTTCATATTACTTATCCTATGAGCTAAAGTTGGCAAGTGGACCTGTGAGACTTTCACCAAGGCACCTCTAAAGACATCAGGCTCTATGTCCTGAAACAGGGCACGGCAGGAAAAACAAGTCTAATCTCCAAGCACATATGGGAGTGTCTGACTTTTTTTTCTTTTTTTTGCAATATTGGTTACCAGCAGTACTGGTGCATATTGAACACAACCAGGAAGAGAGGTGGAACATATTATTATTATTAAGTTATTGGGGCCATTAAAATACATTAGGGAACCTGTTCTTGTGCTTCTCAGCCTAAACTGTTGTCATTACAATGGCAATGAAATGTGGTCTGAGCAGGTCTTAACACTAACATAATTCTGGGTCACAATGAGTACCAAAATTGCACTGCACTGCCTATTGTGCATAAACACAACCTCAGTTGCACTTCTCCTCCCTACTAAGCATATGCATATTCATGGAAAGAAATTACCAAACACAGTAATACCAAGATAAACAAACAAAAAAGAAACTTGTGCTCAGAGAAATTTGCATAAAGACTGTGTTTGAAGCTGGTTTTGCCCTCACAAGGGAATAAAGCCCATCTATAAATTGATTGACACTTACTGTTAGTGACAGGTTAAAATCACTCACCAAATGACTACTATGCTACATTAAATAGAAACTAATTACCATTACCAGCAAAGACACTTGTCAACAAAAATATATGATTCAATGTCATTATTTTTTCCCCCTATTGAAAAAATTATGTTATTTAAAGAATAACTAAAAAGCAGGTTTGAACATAATCTGTGTTAGGTTTCATGAACTGGGTGAATTGCAGAATATCCCTCCAAACAAAGACCCATATTATAGTAAATATTGTCTGTAGGCAGTGGCCCTCTCCAAACACTACCTGTCACCCTCTCGCTGCACCTATTAGGTGACACGCTTTAGCAGCCTGATGGCAGCAGCTGTCACTTCAAAGTGGAGGCCCTGTCAGCCTCCGTCGTATGTCTTAGTTTAGCAGCTGGCTGTCGGCAGGCAGTCTGTCCCCACACCCCACCTTCTGTGAGGAGGAAGCAGACTGACAGATGTGCATCATGTCACCGCTGACTGCACCCTGCCCTCGCTCCTGAACTGCTGTAAAATCACCTCATATCTCATTTCTGTAGCAGATCTAGAACTATATTTGTACAAGTCATCTTCCTTTGCTGGACTATTCCTTCCTGCTTCGTTGCTTTCTTCACTTTTCTTTATTTGCTTCCTTCTTTTCATTTTCTATGTTTCTTCTTCTTTACCATCTCTTTTCTCCTTTTTTCTTCTATCCTTCCTGCTTTCTTTGTTCTCTCTTCTCTCATTTCATTTTTCTTCAACTGAATCTTACTCTTGGCTTTTTCGCCATTAGGGGTTGCCATAGCGAATCATCACTGCCCTTCCTGACGCAACCCTGACTCGAACCTGGGCCACAGTGGCGAGAGCGCTGTGCCTTAACCACTAGTCTATCAGGGATTATTTCATTTTTCTTCATTTAATCAGTTAAAATAAAATTCCCAAAACACACAATAGGATACACAAGGTTTTTACTGCACTATGATTATGTTTAGATTTACTGCTAATATTTGATCATGAGCTCATTTCATGACTTATTTTTGTCAAAAAAAAATTTTTCATCTCCATTGAACAATTGAGTTTTTCTTCTACTTTGCGTCCTACTGTGACTGCTTTTACTTGCTTTACAATGCTGGGCACCACATGTACAGTCATTTAAAATCCACTGTTTTCTAAGATACACCATTCCTTTAAAATCCACTGTTTTCTAAGATACATCAGGAAACCAACAACCACATGACCTCAAACCCAACTGTGTGTGTGTGTGGCATTTCATTGTTTGCGTGGGAGCGTTGTAGTGAACGGAACAGTACAAATGGTACAAAGGCTGTGTATGAGCTGACAAGATTCTGAATAAGTAAGTGATGTTGCCATTAACATTAAGGCATCTGTGACAGTCCAAACTTTGGTTGGATCCACAGAGCCACACATCTGCTTGAGTGTTTATCTAATGTTTTCACATGAGTGAGTTTGTGAGGCTGCTGCCAAGGCTATGAGAGATCGACTGATGTCTGGTTTCAGTGAGTACTGGGGGAAAATGGTGTCTGTCCCTTTTTATTACAGTACATGTGATGAATTGTCTATAGAGACGTGGCCATTTAACAGCTTTGGACCAGAGCGAGTTTATTTGATGGAAAGCAAAGAGCTGCCACACAGTAGATGCTCAAACAGAATAGAATTCCTAAATCTGAATGAGACACTATGCATTGATCAATAGTGGCTAAGAGAATGGTTGGGTCTGTGTTGCTATGGGAGTCATAACTGCCTCCTGATTTAGCAAGAAGAGGCAAAAACTCCTGCATATAAAGCACCTTTCTTCTTAAGGCATGGCGTCATTCTGTATTCTTCTCATTGGCAACAGATCCGACTGTAAGACCAGCACCAACAGTGTGTAGTCCATCTCCCAGTATGTTCTGACCGCCCTGTCCTGTCTGGTAATCAGCTACATTTGCTCAACATTTTATGCTGCATGCAGGTTATGAACAACATGGGCAGGCAATGAAATTTGCATCAAGCATCAAGCAAAGTGGATGTGAAGATTCTAATGTGTGTTTACTAAGGATGCCACAGTTGATGGGCAGATGTGTTGGACTCTCACACTTGTGGTTCATGTTTCTATTTCTTACCAAGAGTCAGAGATGACCACAACCCGAAAGTGTCCAGTATAGACTAAATGTTTTTATCTTGAAATGCCTCATTTCATGACAGCTGGTTTAATTTTGAAGGACTTGTATTGAAACTCACATCTGACGTCAGCTGAACCTCAAGTCAGATCAATTTTATGTATTTTCTCTGAAAGGAATTAGTGGTGATGTGTGTACATTTTTAATCAAGCTTGTTGTCCATTGACAAACTCACAGGTTTTCCTTGATTTGCAATGATATAAAATAGTGAAAAGCAGCAAACCACCATTTTTAAATAGCTGGAACCAGGGAACGATCAAGATATTGATGGAAAAATAATGTAAACAATAAATAAATGATCTAAAACGTTGTTGACCAACAGCTTCAACAAAATTTCATATTTCTAAAAACAATAATTTCTCCCAAAATGTCTGAGGTTAAAAAATGCCAGCGTGTGCTGTAGCGAACATCTCCCCGATATCTTGTGTACAAACATCCTCAGGGCTTATTCATCTCTCTCCTTGCCTTCGCCGCCTGTGGCATCCACTGATGTGCATCCTGCTTAATTACTTTTTCATGAGTTGCTCCCTGTTTTTTGTCCTGAGGGAATTGCTTCCCCACCCCCATCCACTTAAGGTGACCTTGTGTTATTGGGACACGCTGTTGCAGTACTCCCACCTCCCTGCACTGTAATCCCCCCAGGCCCACAGTGTAGGACCGTGTCACTGAGTGTCAGTGCAAATGGATGAGAGGAAAAGTGTACCAAATAGGTATCTCTTGTCCATTTTACCTCTGTTTTTTGACCTCTGTCTTTTACAGCTGTCGTTAGTGGCTCTGGACTCAAGCTGTAACTGAAAACATTGAATCATCACTCAGTAAATCATGTAATATGACATCACTTGCAAATGCATGTTTAACAGACTATGAAACTTTAAACTGATTCAAAGAGATTTAACAGTGGAGAGTCAAAAGGGGTTTTTCCATTACAGGAACCTACGGAAACGTGTCACACCGAGTAACGCTCTTCACAGGTTCTGCATTTGT